TTTTCAGAGAGTAAAAACAGGCAAAAGCTGCAATTATGAGCTTTCAAATGCACAATTATGCTATAATTATGAAAACCATCCATTTAGACGCTCATAATTTGAAGTTTTGCCCATTTTTACGCTCTGAAAGTGAAAATTCTGCGAAAATTACGCGTTTCTTGCGTTTTATTAATGAGCGTTAATGGTTCACAATCGCGGTTCCTGATTGAGTGTTTAAACGCGTTATTTTAAATGTTTGTCTGCTTGGGCGGATGATGCACAGCCCCTGTTTGAATAAATAAGAATAAAAAGATCAATGAAAAAAGTACAAGATATGTGTCCATCAGAAATAGCGATAGAGTATGCGAACGATCACGCGACGAGAACAACGAAATATTGATTCGAGCGTTTTTTCGGTTCATATCGATGTTACTGTAGTTTCTTAGTGCTCCATTTAATTGATGGCTCATATGTTGGTACAGTTTCTATAACCTGAGCACGGACATGAGCTGCATCGGGTAGATGCTTCTGTGCTTCATCGACTGACTGAGAACTTGTGGGTTCTGATCCTCGTTGATTCAATATTAGTTCTACGTCACTTTTCGATTTTTGATTTTCAAATTAGACTGCAAGAAGGGACAGAGCATCACGTAAACTTTGTGTTTCAAGTTCTTCTTGTTCGAGAGGAGAAGTAGGACATTTCCATACCAGTGTCGCTTTTCAGAACTGTCCGAACAGATTTCTGATAGGAACTGATTTGGTTCAATAGTTCATAAGGGCATTATGATCTACTCAGATAAGATTGTTCGATAGCCCTTTTCAATGGATCAATGAGAATTCTGTAAGGCTGTTTTCCTTAGCGTGAGAGTCGAACATAGGGTTGTCAGAACCGATAGAAAGGTTATCGGGGATTCTCTTTCATCTGCAAGGGACAGCCATACGATTTGTCCTTCAAGTAACAATATAGGTTTTTGTGCAATCTGATTGATTCGTTGGCAAGTCCTCTGAACCAATCAGTTCTCAGAAGGGTTGTTTTCTTTATAATAAGGAAGACATTTTGGTTTTTCGGCACCCATATGTGTGTTGTCTGAGATCGAATTTGACTTTGTCCCGAAAATAACACAGCATTCGTTCCGAAAAGAAAGTGAATTTATTGAATACTATTACCTTGAGTGCTTATTGTGTGGGCTTTTGTCTTAAATTTTTCGGACAGAATTTTCTATCATGCAGAAAAGAGAGTGACGCTTTAGCGGAGGCGCTCAGGAGATTCAATCCGATCTGTAGATTCGATCGAAAACGATCGGATCCGCCTCGGATTTCATCGGAATCCGACATCTTTCATAAAAAATCGATCGGATCCGACAAGGTTTTTGTCGGATTCCCATCAGCCGGATTCCGATCCGGATTTCATCGGAATTCGACGGAACACGATGAAATCCTGGCCGGATCAGGTCGGATTTTATCACGTTCCGTCGAATTCCGATGAAATCCGGACCGGAATCCGGCTGATGGGAATCCGACAAATATAGGACCGGATCCGACCGAAATTATTCCGAACTGGCGAGATCCGACTGGGATCGTTTGACCTGGGGCGGTTAATGCATCGACTTAGTTCACTGGAAATAATTTTGATTGCAGTTTATTGAAACTGTGTATGATAAAACCGACGTTAGCTAGCGAAAAAATCATATCGACGAAAGTCTCCGTTACTGGATTACCCAGGTGATTCGATCCGACTGTCGGATTACGTCGGATTATATCGGATTATATCGGAAAAATTACCGGATTTTAACGGATCCGACGGGAACTCGTCGGAAGTTGTCGACGTCCTAGCCATAGGATTCCGACAGGAGGTTCCGGTTGTCGGAATAATCAGGATCCTGCGAAATCCCTGAAACTCCGACACTTTCCGACATCCAGAACCACTTGTCGGAATCCTGTGGTTAGGATTCCGACAAATTCCGGCGAATTTCTATCGGATTCGACAGGGTGAATTCGACCTGGGTACAGGTAATTTCCATTCCGTAAACAGGATCCAATTTTTTAACTTAATTCCTACACTCTAAAAAAAAAGGAGTTTTACCGAACCCTCCAAAAAGGTTCCGTAGATGCTTAAAAGCTTCTAAATACGTTCAAACGCTTAAATAGATGATTATCAAAATCTACGAAACCTTAAAAGGATCTGGCCGCGGGTACACCGCCGGAACCATCTTCTACGAAACCTTTTTTAAGTTCCGTAGGGCGAAAAAAAGTTTCGTAAGAAAATACGAAACTTTTATGGTTTCGCAGTAGGGTTTTGGACGAAACCATAAGGTCCACTACGAAACCATAAAAGTTTCGTATTTTCTTACGGAACTTTTTTTCGCCCTACGGAACTTAAAAAAGGTTTCGTAGAAGATGGTTCCGGCGGTGTACCCGCGGCCAGATCCTTTTAAGGTTTCGTAGATTTTGATAATCATCTATTTAAGCGTTTGAACATATTTAGAAGCTTTTAAGCATCTACGGAACCTTTTTGGAGGGTTCGGTAAAACTCCTTTTTTTTTAGAGTGCATCAAAACGTAAATTCTTTAACAAAACCGAAATGAAAAAAAGACATGGTATTTGTGAGTATGAATTACCTATGTATACTTATGGAAACTGTGAAACTATTTAAATGGATATCGTTTTATGTGGTACTGAGATGTTCATATATGATCATCGATTTCTGCGTGTTCAATCATATCTGACTATGAACGATCTTGTATATCCAACCTAGAAATGTATACGATGGAACTTAAAAAGAACTGGTCACTGTGCCCAATTCTTCGAAACTATACAGTTCATAGAACTGGAAACCATCCTCGATCTGTCCGAGATGATTTGAATCATCCATACTGGCAACTTTTTGTATAGTCATCAACTGCCCTGAGCCACTTATGTTAACAAATGATTGACGTTGTGGTTTTATTTCGTGTATGTGCCATGGTTCGGTTCGTTTGGACTATGTTAAACTGAATTCGCCTTGATTTGTGGGCACGGTAGCGTGCTACACGAGGTCGTCATCGAAAAAAATGTTCCTCTGATTCAAATTGTTCAGGTTCAGCACATTCTAGTTAGCGGTATAATCGTGCGGCATTTTGCTCAAGACGATTTCGACGGTCTTCCTAATCAGTACATCGGGGACATATAAATGTTTCTTGTTGCAATCGGATCTTCTCAGCAATTGTCATGTGCAAACTGGTGACACAAATGCTGTACGAGCAGGGATTAATTTTATAATTGCGCATATAAACACAGTCAAAGCAGAAAGTATGAGATTGATCGATAGATTGCAACATATTTTATGTCATCAGATGATATTTGTTCTGATTTGAATTCGAAAACTGCGACGATGATGCAAATGAATGAATAGAAAGGTTCACTTCTTTTTGATAAAACACATAAAGAAAGCTGATCACTGTACCAAATATTAGGAGATCTTGAGGGTGTGGGTGTGGGTGTGACAGAAAAGGTATATTCACATTCACATTCACACTCACAACCGCACCCTTCACACCTTCCACGCATGACCAAAGACAGATAGTGTTTACACTGGTATACGCACTTCAGCTAATTCAGAACTGACTGACTATTACGAGTAAAGTTCATCATTATATATTCCTGATACAGCAGTCAATAAAATAACGACATAAGCACAGTTTATTTGAAAGTAGAACTTCTGTTACCAACGTAGAAGAAAAAGAAGGAGAGCTAGTTTACGAAAAAATTAGGTCTCAAACTCCTACCCAACCAATTCAACAGAAGAAAACAGTAGAATTTCTTTTTGATAAAAATATACTCTAGATAAACAACGACAATCATGTCAACTAGATTGGGCTGAATCCTCATGGACACGATGGATACAGATACCCCTACTATCTTGGTTAACATCGATTCTCTCATTGGGTAATGGACGAAAGCTTGTTGAAGACGACCTTAACGATCTTTCTGTCAACGACAAATGCTCGCACTTGTTGAACAGAGCGAATCCGTATAGTTCCAAATGGCAAGGTACATGGCATGCAGTCAAGCAAACGTTTTATAAAGATTTTCTAGTGAGCATATTGCTGGTTTTTCCATTGGTTTTGACTCGTATTGCACAGCCGTTGCTTATTTATCAAATTGTTCTCTACATTAAAGGTCAATTAAGACTACCTGCTTACGCTGGTTATCTATGTGCTATTGCCCTTAGCATTTCTGCAATTGCACAAGCAATTATTCACCAACAAATCTTCTTTCGAAACACACGCATAGCCATGCGCGTTCGCAATACATTATCATCTATCATCTATAAACACTTGTTGACCATCAATACCGCAGCTCTTCAAAAGACGACTGTTGCTCAGACAATCAATTTAGTAGCAAATGATGTTGGTAAATTAGAAGAACTAAGCAGGTTCGTGCATACTTTACTCCGGGTACCTTTGGAAGCTCTAATAACGTTTGGTCTCGTGTGGTGGAACAATGGTGTGCCGACATTATTCGGCTATGCAATACTAATTGTATTAGTACCTATACAGCTCATTTTCAGCAGACAATTCAGTCTATACCGCAAGGCTACAATGTTGTGTACAGACAAGCGAGTACAAACAATCAATGAACTTATCAACGGATGTCAAATTATTAAAATGTACAATTGGGAAAAAGCAATGGAGCAAAGAGTAAGAGAAACACGCCGACATGAACTTTCGCACATTTTCAAATCTAGTTATTTGAGAGCTTTTAATGCTGCTCTTTCCTTCGCCGCGTTACCTTTAATTTCTCTTGCCACATTCGGTGGTAGTTGGCTAATGGGTAGAACTTTACTTCCGGAAAATATTTTTGCGACCCTAGCCTTCTTCTCCATGGTTATAGAACCAGTAACACTTACGACGCCGCTCGTAATCGAAAAATTTAGCGAAGCTCGTGTTTCTGCCAAAAGGATCGATCAGTTTATGCAGCTCGATTCGTTGTTGAATAAACATGAAAAAGTGAAGACCGAAAACGGGAATTATAGGATTATAATGAAAGATGCCTCATTTTCTTGGAAAGATATTCCCTCTTTGTTTTCTCTCAATCTCAAAATAGTAAACGGTAACTTGGTTGGAGTGAAAGGTGCCATCGGTGCTGGTAAGTCGACCTTACTAGCTGCCATTCTCGGTGAGATCAATCTTGTCAGTGGAAAACTACAATTATGTGTTGATTCTATTTCGTACGCTCCACAAGCTGCGTGGATATTTGCAGACACTATTCGAGCTAATATTCTTCTTGGCAAGCCAATGAATGAAGAACGTTACAAGAATGTAATTAAAGCATGCTGTCTTGACATCGACCTACAAAATTTCGGTGATGTTGGTGATTTATTGATGATTGGCGATAGAGGTATCAATTTGAGTGGAGGACAAAAAGCTCGAATATCACTCGCTCGTGCTCTTTATGCTGATGCTGACTTATATTTACTCGATGATCCACTTGCAGCTGTTGATCCAAAGGTGGCAAAGAGAATTTTTGATCAATGCATCGGTCCTCGTAGTCTCCTTCGTGGAAAGACTCGAATATTAGTTACACATCAGACACATTTCTTAGTTGAATCAGATCAACTTATTCTCTTGACTAACGGTCACATCGATGAATTAGATATTGAACAACGACCTGCAATTGAGTCATCGAATGATATATCCGAAACAGATTCATATAACGACAAGGAGACGTATTGGACACTTAATACTGCACCAGCTGATATGAGCTCGATTGTAAAGAGTGAAACATCAGTTGACGGTACCACCAAATGGAGTGTTTGGCTACAATTGTTCACTTCATCACCTTTACGTTGTTTTGGTTTTTTTCTTATGATAATTTTGATGCTTGGTAACGAAGCTCTGTACGATTTTACAAATACGTGGCTCTCTGTGTGGTCTGGTAAAGATGAAACTGAACAACGATCATCATTTTATGCTTACGTCTATCTTGGAGTTATAGTTTCTACGTTGATTGTTGCAGTAATACGTATTAGTTATATATTCTATATCATGTTGTGTGGTTCGACCTATTTTCACAATCGAATGCTCAAAGGTATCTTGTACACTTCGTTGCGTTTCTTTGAAAGTAATCCAAGTGGAAGAATATTGAATCGAGCAAGCAAAGATCAACAAGTCTTAGATGAATCGTTAACTCTTGCTTTAATTGATACTATGCAATATCTTCTAATGACTCTCGGCGCTCTCACAGTCATTGGAATAGCCAATCCATGGGTGCTTCTAGTTCTCATCCCTTCGATTCCCACAGTTTTGTGGCTTCGCAGATTTTATATGCGTTCGAGTCTTCAACTCAAACGACTCGAAAGTATAACACGTAGTCCAATTTATGCATTGTTCTCATCGTCATTAGATGGACTCACTAGTATTCGTGCGTTTAATGTTCAAGATGACTTTTTGAATATGTTCATGGAAAGAATCGATACCAATTCACGATCTTACTTTATTCTCTTTGCAGCTGCACGTTGGTTCGGTTTACGGCTCGATCTTATTACATTTGTAGTCACTTTAGTTACTGCTATTCTTGCAGTAGCATTGCGTCATCAAATAGATCCATCATCAGCAGCACTCAGTATCAGCTATTGTATCACTTTAATAGGTCTGTTTCAATGGGCAATACGACAATCAGCTGAAGCTGAAAATTTCATGACCAGTGCAGAACGCATTCATGAATATGGTCAACTAGTACCAGAAAGCTATCAGAACAGTCATGAAAACGGTGTACACATTCAACCACCAGATGATTGGCCTTCACGTGGTATCATCGAATTTAAAGACTATACTCTTCGCTATCGACCAGAACTCGATCCTGTGCTCAAAAACCTTAATCTACGAATTGAATCCAAGGAAAAGATTGGAATTATTGGTCGGACAGGTATCATTACTGCACTTTTGGAAATACATGTGAAAAGTATTCCTAATGAGACAGAAAATCGGTTAAAAATACATTTTCATAGAAAGAAGAAAGATGGGGCATGCCGGTCTCGATGTAGGCTGAAAATAGAGCGCTCACATCCTAAAAATTTTACCAAGGTTACTGCCATAGGAACTTTCTTTTCGAATTGCGATCGTTTTACATAAAATGACTAAAGATGTAATCGCTATACTTCCAAGAATATAGGAGTCATTAGTGCTTAACTCTAAGTATACAGAACTCTAGATCATATTATGTAATGCATACGATAAAGTCGAATCTAGCTGCTTTACTCTTTTTTTATATCCTTTTTAGGCTGAAAGAAGCGCTTTCGACGAATAAAAATCATGGCTTTGAGCAACATTACAATATGATATCATAGAATGCATAAAAAGCGGCTAATTAGCACTGAATCATAGGTTGGTGTTTACAAAGCAGACAAATGCGATACAGATATAGAGTTAATTCTACTAGCACCTGATTCCCAACATTTAATTGAAATGATTCTTAGATGAGAAATTCTATTTCTCGAACGAAGCATTTCATTAGTTATCAGGTTCTGTTCTTATCCAAGAGATATTTTCAGAAACTAGCATGAAATAAGATTTCAACATTTTATAATGAATATTGACTGTGTACATTTACGATGTACAGCGTACTCTGAAAGGATCTGGAGTATTCGAATCCATGATTATCCGCTTTGCGAAATTCGTCTATCAATATCTATTTTTCTTGTAGGTGCCGGAAAATCATCACTTCTTCAAGCTCTCTTTCGACTTGTAGATCAGTCAGCAATCGACGGAACTATTCTCGTCGATGACATCGATATTGGACGTCTGTCACTTGATCATCTTCGTTCTCATCTAAGTGTTATTCCACAAGTACCGATACTATTTTGTGGCACACTCCGATATAATATTGATCCATTCGAACAATTCTCAGATGAAGAATGTTTCGCAGCACTTGAAGCTGTTCAGCTCAAAAAATTGGTGCGTAATCATCCAGATGGACTTCATCTGTTAATAACTGAGTCTGGTACTAATTTGAGTGCTGGTGAACGCCAACTGGTTTGTGTAGCTCGAGCCATTCTAAAGAGGAGTCACATATTGCTTGTTGATGAGGCTACAGCAAATGTTGATCATACGACCGATAGAATGCTTCAAGAAGTGATTGCTGACAAGTTTCGTGATCGTACCATATTAACAATTGCACATCGATTGAATACAGTAGCCAATAGTAATCGTATTCTAATGTTGCAAAAGGGAGAAGTAGTCTATTTCGATGTTCCCAATAATATCGATTTATTTCAAAGTGATGCACAAAATTAAATTGACTCTTATAACTATATGCCATAGATTATTGCATTGATACAGAGTTTTTCATTCTCTCTATTCTTCTGTAGACGTTAATATTACTATTATTTTTGTCAATCATGGTACCAAAAATTCTGAAAGATTAGTACAATCTCGTTTTCGACTAAATAAGATATCGTTTAAAAGACTGCATCCACTATGTACAGCATTTTGGGTATGGGTGTGGGTCTGTTGGTATAGGTGCTACATTTACAACATACCCACACCTACACCCTAACAGGAAAATACAATGAAAAAGGGATGCTTATAGCTACTATTTACTGAATATATCAAGTATTTCGATATTTTGTCGTTTCGATTTTATTTCAGCACACTACAGTACAAGGGGGAACAGCAGACCTCTGTACTTCTTGATACCTCCCGGTAATTCTCAGTACTTGTTGGTACTTCTCAATACTTTTTCGTACTTTTGTGAAATTCTGTACTTTTGAAGTACGAAGTCTTGCTTTTTTCCTCTTGCCACAGAATCGGATCGAGTGTTCTGAATTTTGTGGTTGTCGTAGTGCTCACATAGGGACAGAACTTACGCGAGATATATATTTCGCATGTATGACTCTTCGTCGCACTCATTGTATGGCTTTCAAAGTCTACTCTCATCTAACTATTGTTAAAACAAATACAACTACAGATTGCTTCCTCAATTTCATAACATGTAATGCATATTTGAAGTACATATTTTATTTTTTTCAACTCATCTACTTTTTTGTACAAAATAGAGAGCTAATAACTGCACTACCTTAACGGCAAACGGCTACGAAAGAGAATGGTTGTTTCACTAGAAATATGTGTACATATCAATGAAAAAACGGGAGCATAAATTAACAGTGTGAAAAAAGACGGAGCATGTAAAAATATAAAACTAACTATACATGCTATATAATAGTTTATATTCAAACAACATGATTGTAAACATGTGCTTCATTGAGTAACAATATATATTCCTGTATATCTTAATATGATTTTAATTTTTGTTTTCTAACAAGTTTAATTTAATTAAAAACAACTCGCGTTATCTATTACGAAGAGATGTTGCAGATTAATTAATATGAATTTGAAAATGAATCATCAATTGATTTGAAGCTTATATGTACAATTTGCTTAAGTCCATTGAATAGACCAATAATAACATCATGCCAACATATATTTTTTCATCATTGTGTTCATGTGTAGTTACAAAATGGTTCATCATGTTCAATCTGCCGTAGAGGATTGATGGAAAGATATCTAATACCAATAACTAATCAAAATATTCCTAACACATTTGAGCAAATTGAAGTTAAATATATATTATGTCAATAGACGAGAATAAAACGAAAAGATTCTAATGATCATATCAATAAAAAGGGTGTGGGTGTGGGTGTGGGTGTGGGTGTGCGTGTAGTGGATGTATGGATGTGTGGGTGTGGGTGTGGATGGGGGTGTGGTGGGTGTGTGGGTGTGGGCATAGGAGTTCGTCTTTTATTCATCAAAACCCATACCCCACACTCACACCCACACCCTTTACCTCCAAGTGGAAAACCTCCTTATTACAAACAACACTTTTTCTAATACATCAGTTCTGGTTTTTTTTTGCTAGTTGGTGTTTTTTTTCTTGATAGAGAAAATAAAAAGGAAAATATCATGATTCATTGGCACATTGTTTCATCTCACTAAATTAGAATAGTAATGTTCTAACGGAAGCTAAAATATGCTTGTCTTTAATTTACATCTCGGTAATCTACAAGACGCATGCTTTTTATGAAACAAGCCTCTGAGTTACCGAGCAACGTTAAAATTATTCAAATTTCGCAAAAGAAATTTGCTAGTACAAATACTTCGAAAAGATAAAATCTTATGAGGATGTTGAATAGTCACCATTTTATCAATTGAATTTCACTTTGTATAAAACAATGCTATCTTGAAACTTTTTCTTCTTTATAAAATTTTTAAAAAATACTAGAAAATATGATTCGCATCCTATGAAATACGTTGGTATTAGGGATATCAAAATGTTAGTACAATTTAAATGTATGACACGCTAATAATTTTATTTAATAATTATCTCTGATTTCATGAATAGTTTAACTACTCTCTGTTTTACTAAATTATCGAACGTCACAAAAGAACGAAAGAAAAGACAAATATAGTAGAACATACTAGAACGAGAGAAATAACGGGTAAGCTGAAATACATGACTACAAAACGAAAACAAACATAACTATCATGTACTTATGCTAGTGCAAAGCGGAACAAAAAAAAGAATGCACAACTATCGCGCTACTTAACAATCTAAACAAGACAGAAACTTGAATAAACCAAAGAAACTAGATGGATATTATGTGTGAATATTTTTTCCGTGGTTTGTTCGAGTCTGTTTCTTCTTCAGATGCATGCGCTGGTATTATATAGAGGTTGGCGAAGATCCGCTGAAAGGGTTTAATAATGATAAGTAAGGATGGCAAGGAAGGGTGTGGGGGGGGGGGGGGGGATGTTTTTCTTCATTTGACCCACAACTGAATCCACATCGGACATCTCATTAGCATACCAAATCGTTCTTGTTTAGATTGAAAATGACTTTCTTTTAAATTTTGGATTCCATCTCAACTTCCCTTCATCTCCCTTTTTTTTCTTTTTGAGATGATCCCTGTTTTTGTTTTTTCTCTACTCTTACAATCTCTGTGTGTTTCCTTTCTTTTTTTCCTTTGTCCTGATGAATATTTATATTAAAATAAAAAGCATAAAACGTGCCGCCGAACTAAAGTTTCCATTAATATTTATTGATTTTTCATTAAAGTTGTTATTGATACTACAAATTATTTCGCTTTAAACGATGGTTCGAAAGTAACAATTGAGATTAGCATGTATAGGTCTGCTCTCTTGAGTCTCAAATCAGCTAGTCGATAAAAAATCAATGTTTAAATGAAACAGAATGATTAACCATTATCAGTAGTGATCCGCCATGTCATTCACAACAGCAAGGTTAATCGGCACGACGTTTTTACCCGATTCTTCGATCAAAGGCACTTGTGGACCAGTGAAATATTTCCTTCCACTTATAACATACCATAAAATGCTGACTCCAGCAAACAAAACGAATAATACACTGGCATAATTCATACTCGAAGACGTGACAGGTATTTTTGTCGGCATCATAAATAAGATAACAGCCAAGGGAATCCAGATGATCGTGATAATGTTGATGACATAGCCTAGTTTACCAAGGTGAAAAGGAGCGTTAGCGACTAAATGACGTCCACGAAGGATAAGTACGACAATGGGTGACGCATAAGAAGCCGAAAGACATATTGTAGCCACGCCAGTAAATGCATTGAATGCAGCTGATGAACCGAGATAAAGGAGGCCAAGTAGACCTTGAATTAGAGTCGAAAACAATAAAGCATGAAGTGGAATATCGTATCGTTTATTAATTTTTGTCCATATTTTCGAACCTGGAACAGCACCATCTCGACTGAAAGCGTAAAGACATCGAGAAGTGGCTGTCAATGAGCCTACTCCAGCAAAAAACAGAATACCCAGAATAAGAAACAAAAGTCCAAAACCGCCACCAGCTGAACCTGTTGCTACCATAAAGAGATAACCAATTGGTTGGCCGCTTGGCACAGAAAGTAATTTACCGACATCGGGCATGACAAAAAGGATCGGGATGAGATAAACAACACCTGTAATTCCAGCAGTGACGACAGAAAGTACCATTGCTTTTGGTACTTCTCGTTCTGGATTTTGAACTTCTTCGCACATGGCTGCCACCATGCCATAACCAGTGAGAGTGTAAGCAGATTGAAGTAATCCGACGAAAAACGCCCATCCTGGTGGCCAACCAGCTCTCGTTGCATCAAATTCAGCAAAAACATATGCCGCACTTCGTCGGCCTCCCCTTGCCATAGTCAAAACAGTGATGAGTATAATCAAAACGGATGCGGCCGTCCAATAAATACAAATAGTATTAATGAAATGCAAGTGTTTGGAGGCGAAAATGTTTGTTAACAACACTACAAGTAGGACGGCCCAATACATTAGTACGACATGCCAAGAGGCTGGAACATAGGTTTCATTCCAAAGGTCAATAGCAGATAATATTAATTGTCCACCGGAAAAACAGATGGACGTGGTCACTGTCCAATTTCCAACGATACATAACCATCCAGTTGTCCAAGATGTAATAGATGCCCATTGCTTATTTGCTAACATTGCAGACCAGTAATAGACACCTCCAGAAGTCGGATACGCTGAACAAATTTCTGCTAGACTTGCAGCAATAAATATTGAAATAATAGTAACGAATATCCAACCGTATAAGATAGTTACTGGGCCGCCGTTCGTGAGCCCAATAGAAAGAGTTGTCGATTCGCCGAAAGGCACAGCTATAATTGCAAAGGAAAGACCAAGTACAGAAAAGAAGGACAACGAACGTGGTAATTCAGCTTTGTAGCCCATGGCAGCAAGTTGAACGTCTGCCTCACTAGAAGCAATGTCTTTTTCGTTATTCATCGTTATCATGATGATAGCATTTTCACAAACGAGAAGCTTGATTAATCCTAGTGTAGGGTGACTGATGGGCAGATCTTTGAATCTAGAAAGTAAATCTTGAGAATCTTCTCATTACATCCATAGAGGAGCTACAATAATGGCCTAAAAAATTACAACGTCGGAATATTCTCTAGAGTCGAATTTAACCATACAATCCGAGCTACAAAAATTTGCGAAAAGTTGACATTTTACTTACAGTACTTTGGAACTCGATCTAATTGATGCTGTAATCCTCGATTGATTATAGAACACTTTAAAAAAATCTCACACTGTATTGATTTTAAGTTTTGCACAACTTCATACACGAACTTTAATGTTTTGACTGTCTTCCGTATTGTTCACGACGCAACAAAGCGGACTTGTGAGAGGCTTAAAAACAAATATCGAGTATCTTTTCAAAACATTCTAAAATCTGTGATGGACGAGAATGAGAAAAGACATGAAACGATACACCAACCTTACGGTGCTCTAGACCACTGTTGAGTCTGTTGAATGAGTACATAGATAAGACTGTTGAGGCTTCTCTGTTTAACACAATCTTCAAAATATCTGACGATGTGCAAAACTTCATTTCTCATTAGCCACTTACGCTCTACCATTCTTCAAGTTTGTTACACGCGCAATCCACACTTTTGAAATAGAGAACAGCACTACTGAGAGAAGATTTATTTTTGCAATAATATGCTTTTCAAAAACTATGGCAACGTGAACCATTGTTGTTAAAAATCCCTGTTATGAGGCTCCCGTCATTGAAAAGTACACCAACAGTTTTTTTGAATTGTTTTAGCATGATTGAATAGCACTCATCATCTTGTCTAAGAAGATCTCAATTCTCGATCTACTAACCATGTTTCTCTTTATGAAAAATTTCGAAAAACTGCTCTCCAAAAACAATTGGTCATAATGGCCATATCGATTTATTATTATCTAGTACCTGTGTTGAGAAACTAAGTTTCTTTCAATATTACGGGTAGTGCCAAGATATTGGAAACTATCGATTTATTTTGAGAGTTCTTGCATCGTAAATTCATTTCCTAGAGAAATGTATATGATGTTCGGACTCAGCATAAAACGTCTAATAGAGCTACATAGATTTAGCTAAATAAGATTTGCATCGAAATCTTGTCTGTACTCCTCTTAAGTAATTTTATCTGTATGATCTTCCATCAGATGCCGGGATCGAATCGAATAATCATGTGTTTGTTCTGCAAATCAGAAACTCGCTCTACAAAGAAATAAGAAATAGAAGAGGTTGAAATACGTTCGATCACAGCTTGATAAGTACGAACAAACCATAGATCATTGGTTATTTTAGGAAAAAGAGAAAATACTAATAATCATCCTCAATTCTTTTGCTGAAAGACAGTTGTTATATTTTTCGCTAAGACAGTATCTGAGAAGTCCAGAGCCAAAGTACATAGGTTTGAACTTTTGAGTGTAAATTTTTCATGGTCGTGACGAAATTGAATAAAAGATGCCATTTGATATCACTTATTGACTTAAATAAGTTATACAGGTATCAAAATGAAAATATTGGAGATCAGAAGTTGAAAAGTACACTCAGTATATGAAAATTCCGCTCTGTCAAACTTCAACTACTCTATATCTTTGTTCTAAGACTCATTCATGTCGAAGTTGTACAAATAATTAAAAACTGGGGATCTTTGAATATGTATGAATAGATCAAAGACGAAAAAGATTGTACGAGTAAGCAAGCGCATATGTAACGGTGTGAGTCGCATTGGATCAAAATAAAGATTTTCGTGTTCATTTCGGTTTCTGTTTCTGTAGACATAATTTCGATGGAAATGTTATTCATCAAAACCTCTGTTGCTCTACTCGGCGTTTTTGTTTCTCAATACAGGTACTAGGTAATAAAAAATCGATATGGCTATGAGGACCAACTAGAAGAAACTCAAATAGTTCATTTCGATCGAGATTTGATTTATTTGAAATTGATCGCCGAGAGATTACAATTACCATGATCTTTCTCAAAAGTTTATCTGCTTCGACCTATGTTTTGAGAAGTGATGAATTTTGAATTGGTTTTTTTTTAGAGAGCAGTTTTTTGAAATTTTTCATAAACAGAAACACGGTTAGTGAATTGAGAATTGAGATTTTCTTAGACAAGTTAACGAGCGCTATTCAATCATGCCGAAACAACTCGAAAAAAAACTCTTGTTGTATTTTTAATCGCTAACGCCTTACTTTTACTATATATCGAAATGCGTAAATCTGTTTGTGAGCACCCTATAGACTTTGTCTATTACTTTTACATTTATCCTTTGTCACGATGGCATTTATTCAGTCACTTATTATTGAAAACTTTTCTGTTCCACTAACGGATACTCAGGTACGAATATTTCTCTGCAAATTCTGCACGGTCGTCATATAATTCGATGAGTAGTACAGCTGTATGAGTGAGTATATCTCCATGAGTCAACTAGATAATAGAAAATCAAAACAAAGCAAGAATGAAGTCGTTCTTCGATAAATCGGTACTTACCAAAGATAAAATTCTCGACATTTTAGATGTCTCTGACGATCGTAGTTTTTTTTTGTTGCACAGTTACTTTCGAGTGAAAGCATAAACGTAGCAGACAATCTTTCATTGCATGGCGCACATGGTAAACAATCTATGAAAGATAAGAATTGAAGTAGTGAGAATGATAAAAATGAAAAGATCAAAAATTAATAAAAAGCAAAAGAGGACGGTGGAGTAAGATAAAAAAAATAATTACTATAGCGGGCGTGGAGTGTTGGTGTGTGAATGTGAATGAGTGTCGACGTGTTAGATCATCATCTTCACTTGTTTTCACCTTTTCTAGTAATTCACTTCGGTCCAATGACTATTCTGAATATTGGTACGCAGAGAAATAAAGTCGTATCTTTAGCTGCCAATACCACCAGACCGTGGCATCTATACATTGGCTAAAATCAAATGCAGAATACAAACACCTCGTTTCACCTTCATCATTAATAACTTTAGAATACGACATCAATTTTTATATTTGACAATGTTTTTGTTCTGTTTATCCTAATGGAAAATATACACAGACTGAAA